GCGGGCACCTGTAATCCCAGCTACTTGGGAGGCTGAGGCAGGAGAATCGCTTGAACCTGAGAGGTGGAAGTTACAGTGAGCCGAGATCATGCCATTGCACTCCAGTCTGGGCGACAGAGTGAGACTCCATCACAAAAAAAAAAAAAAAAAAAAAAAAAAAGGAAAGAAATTGAACAAAATGCACAAACAAAGCAATAAAGTAATGAAGTGATTTATTGAAAATGAAAGTACACTCCACAGTGTGTGAGCAGCCCCGAGCATAGAGGCTCAAAGACCCTGTTATAGAGTTCTTGTGAGTTTAAATACTCTACTACTTGGGATATGCCCTACATAAATGAAGAGGATGAAGTAAAGGTGCAAAGTCATTTACTTGGTGTATGCCCTATGGAGAGGATATTTCTTCTCATACCTGAAGTGTGGATCAGCCTTATGTTCCCTGCCTTCAGACCCTGTTTTTCTGCCTCACTGCCACATGAAGACAAACTGTGTAAAAAATGAGGATAAAGAGAGATTCATGGAGTCAACTCCTAGAGAGAAAGATACCATGTGATATTGTTGACCTCCTAGGCAGAACTGCATTTAAATCAGTTTAAGCCCTGGGGGCTCATATAAGAGCCAATAAATTCCTTTGTTTTCCCAACTTATATTTCAAAGATATTTCATTATGTGAAATTAAAAGATGATTTAACTAAAGTTGACACCCAAAAATGGCACACCACTTTTTTTTTTTTTTTTTTTGAGACGGAGTCTCGCTCTGCGCCTAGACTGGAATGAAGTGGCATGATCTTGGCTCACTGCAAGAATGGCACACCACTTCTAAGTGTGGTCTCATCTCTGCAAAGGAGTTCTAATTGGATTTTTTAAAAAGTAAATAAATAATAAGTGCTTTTCTTACCGTTATAATTTTCCCAATATATGCTTGTGACTACTTATGTAGCCAAATGTTATGTTATTATTTACTGATACATAGTCATCTGCCTCTTTCCATTTTGGTCACCATGTTACCAACTACATTGATAGGAGAGATTTTGTTTTACTTTTTTTGTAATTATACTTTAAGTTCTAGGGTACATGTGCACAACGTGCAGGTTTGTTACATATTTTTACATGTGCCATGTTGGGCGCTACACCCATTAACTCGTCATTTACATTAGGTATATCTCCTAATGCTATCCCTCCCCCCATCCTCTCCCCACAATAGGACCCGGGGTGTGATGTTCCCCACCCTGTATCCAAGTGTTCTCATTGTTCAATTCCCACCTATGAATGAGAACATGCGGTGTTTGGTTTTCTGTCCTTGCGATTGTTTGCTAAGAATGATGGTTTCCAGCTTCATCCATGTCCCTACAAAGGACATGAACTCATCCTTTTTTATGGCTGCATAGTATTCCATGGTGTATATGTGCCACATTTTCTTAATCCAGTCTGTCATTGATGGACATTTGGGTTGGTTCCAAGTCTTTGCTATTGTGAATAGTGCCGCAATAAACATACGTGTGCATGTGTCTGTATAGCAGCATGATTTATAATCCTTTGGGTATATATCCAGTAATGGGATGGCTGGGTCAAATGGTATTTCTAGTTCTAGATCCTTGAGGAATCGCCACACTGTCTTCCACAATGGTTGAACTAGTTTACAGTTCCACCAACAGTGTAAAAGTGTTCCTATTTCGATAGGAGATATTTTTAAGAGATGGCAAGCCAATTGGTTAACTGATGTTTCTTTTAAGTTTTTTTTTCTCCCCCCCCTCCATAATCTCATTTATTTTCCAGGCTGAATATTTGGCAAGTGCCAAAGCTTTGGTTGAGGAGCAGAGAGATATACCTCTAACATAGATGATAGATAGATAGATAGATAGATAGATAGATAGATAGATAGATAGATTTTTTTGAGACGGCGTCTTGCTCTGTCACCCAGGCTGGAGTGCAGTGGTGCAATCTTGGCTCACTGCAACCTCCGCCTCCCGGGTTCAAGAAATTCTCCTGCCTCAGCTTCCCAAGTAGCTGGGATTACAAGCATACACCGCCACACCTGGCTAGCTTTTTTTTTTTTTTTTTTTTGAGACGGAGTCTCGCTCTGTCACCCAGGCTGGAGTGCAGTGGCGCAATCTCGGCTCACTGCAAACTCCGCCTCCCGGGTTCACGCCATTCTCCTGCCTCAGCCTCCCGAGTAGCTGGGACTACAGGCGCCCGCCACTGCGCCCGGCTAATTTTTTTTTCTATTTTTTAGTAGAGACGGGGTTTCACCGTGGTCTCGATCTCCTGACCTTGTGATCCGCCCGCCTCGGCCTCCCAAAGTGCTGGGATTACTAGCTTTTTGTATTTTAGTGGAGATGGGGTTTTACCATGTTGCCCAGGCTGGTCTCAAACTCCTAAGCTCAGGCAATCCACCCACCTCGGCCTCCCAAAATACTGGGATTACAGGAGTGGGCCACTGTACCTGGCCCAACATATATTTTTAAAATAAGAAATGATTCTTCACTTGAAAAAAAAATTAAGCCGTTATACCTTACTATGTCTCATGGGGTGTAGAAGGAGACTACTTTAAATACATTTTCTTTTCTTTTTTTTTTTTTACTGACAAAATAGCCTTGATAAGATACTTGACAATGTCAACCTAAATGAAAGAAACAAAAACATGGCATGGCAATAGGGCTCAGATGCACTTTTAATTAATTTTATAGAATAGCAGTAATATTAGGATAGTGAAATAGATAAATCCAAGTAAAAGTCATTTGGGGTAAACCAAAAGGGTAGAGTTATTTGATCAAGTGGCATTTTGTGAATGGGCATGTACAGGTTGAAGAGGAATAACTTTACTCATGGCAAATGTGCTAGAGAATGTAACTTCTATAGAATGACTGCAGAAAACTGAAAAGGCCTGGATAAATTACCTGACATTTTAGGTGAAAATAAATGAAGATGTCAGAAAGAAGCAGAATTTTTAAAAAATCAGTTTTTCCCAAAGTTAATTTCCTTTTTTCTTATACTTCAAACTGCTTCTTGAGCTTTTCATTTTAGTCAAATTGTCATCTTAAAAAGCAGCACTAATGAAATTGCTGAAAGCATTATAAAAATATATAGAAAGAAGCAAGGTGCTAAAATCATCCATTATTAAGAGACTGTGAACTGTAAACATCAGACAGGGCACCCATCACTGCAGAGGCAAATTGAAAGCTGAAGGAGATTTGCTTTGTCTCTCTGATTTAAAATTGATTGAAATGCATATACAAATGGAAAAGCTGTCAAAAGCTGCCTGTGGTAAGTTGATAGCTCATCGTTTCCTTCTGACCCAAAGCTTTAATGGTGTTCCTTTCAGGTAGGGAAGGAAGAAGGTAGGTTTTGAACCCATCCTGTGCAAGTATGAACTGAGATATAGACACTGGTGATGACCATTTCCTGGTATCTTTGTTGATCACATGGATTGTGAGCAGTGTATTTGCCCACGTTGATGAAATCGGTGCATATGTCCCCATTGTCTGTATTGCACATAAAAAAAAAAAAAATTCTTGTTGTTGTTTACAGAAACGAGAATGTCCTCAATCCTGAAAGGCATTGAAATGTCATGTGAAAATAGGCTAAAATGTTTTTAATAAGGCAATCTAAGAAAACACCTCTCGGCCTGGCTTGGCGGCTCATGCCTGTAGTCCCAGCACTTTGGGAGGCTGAAGCCAGCAGATCACGAGGTCAGGAGTTCAAGACTAGCCTGGCTAATATGGTGAAACTCTGTCTGTACTAAAAATACAAAAATTAGCCAGGTGTGGTGGTGCACGCCTGTACTCCCAACTACTCAGGAGGCCGAGGCAGAAGAATCACTTGAACCCAGAAGGCGGAGGTTGCAGTGAGCAGAGACCACGGCCACTGCACTCCAGCCTGGGCGACAGAGGGAGACTCTCTCTGAAAACAAACAAAAACAACTCTATTTTGCTTCTTTATTTTCCCTGTGCCAACACCCTAGTCTAGTCAAGATATTGTTTTCCTACCTCTGACTTTGTTTTTCTTCCAGAATCCACATTGCTACCCAAAATGAATTACTTCTTCTAAACCAAACTAATATTTTTAAGGCCTTAATTTATGCTTATCAACTCTGTACCACAAATCCTTCAAGGACCCTCAGCTGCCAATGTCCTAACAGGACGTTAAAATCCAAACTCCTCCAAGAAGGCAGAGTGCTCAATAATCCAGCTCCACCGTTTTCCTCCGTCACGGTTCCACCAAAGTTTTCATTATAGTCTTCTCTTCAGGCTAGTCTTCTCTTCACCACGCCTGCAACATCTGACACCTCTGACCCAACACAATGCATTCCATTCTTCCTCTAAATATTTATGCGAATTATTTTTCTTATTTTAATTACTTACTCTAATTCTCTCTGTATTTACAAAGTAGATCCATTCTTTAGATTTTCATTCAAATCTTAATGTCACTGTGCATAAAACATCTCAGGAAATATTCAGTTGTTTCTGCTGGAGTAAGTTCTCAACATAGAAAAACAGTTTTAGAATGAAAATAACATAACAGGGAAAATGCAGATTGTGCCAATAACAACATATTTTAAAAATTCAGCCCTTTAAGGTTTTGTAGTGCTTTTTTTGATCTATGCACACACATACACCCGCACACACATACACCCACACACACATGCAAAACCTATGATCATTTCTAGTGAGATAAAATAACTACCCTTGAAATTAGTAATCGTTCCATAATAAAAGACAGGAAATCAAGCCAACAGACAAGATACCCTGTATATGAAGAGATTTGATCAGGCTCAAAAATGAAATGTCAAATATTAGTACCAGGCAATTCCCTGATACCAACCACAATGATAAAAGTCAATGAAATAAAAAAAGTGTTAACTCATATGTAGATCACTTGAAATTGAGAATGTGACACAACTTATTTTTATTGGGTTTTACATTCTATGAAGATAAAAATTACTCAGATATTTAATGTGTTCTATTACAGTAAAATTTTAATAAAGTATTCAAAAATTTCACATATTTGAAACATAACCACATGCAATTTGAAAGAATTCTTTGTTCACCATAAATTCAATGTTCATAAATATTTTAGATAAACACAATTTAAATATGATTATAAAAACTTACAATACTGTTAAAAGCAAGCTGATACCTAACACATACAGAAAAGCACATGTTCTCAGAGACTATTTTATTAAGTCACATATATTGATATTGTAACCAATATGTTAGAAAAACAACAATTTTTGAAAACATAATTAGCACAGTTTTTTAAGAAGCTAGGAAAGAACACAAAGACACAAATGCAATGTACTTGATACATTAATTTGAGGCTGAGAATACTTGACATCTTCATAATTCAGGTGGAAGAGGCTTCCGATGTTACTGTTCTCATTTTTCAGGTAATCATAAAAATTAAGATAAATATTTACAATGTTTAAGCATTTGTGTTTAAAAATATTCTATCAAGTAAGGTGTCAAAAGTGTAATGAAAGCTGTATTAAAAATTTGAAAACAATGGAAGTAAAAAAGGACATATGAGACTTTTATTATGTATGAACCATCATTGTGTTTCATCAAAAAGATCCCTGATTAAGGAAATTTGCTAGGCAAATACTGTCAGCAAACACAACACTAGTTATAATTTTGTTTTATGTTTTAACTGCATTTCATTCAGTGTTACATGTAATCCTACTTGCAGTGATTTAAAAATTATTTTTATAGTGGAATCTGTTGTATTGTCCATATGACAGTTTAAAATATGAGAATTTCAGATAATATTTTACAGTGTTAATACTTAAACTCCAGATGTGGAAACAGGTTGTATATTTTGCTGCTAATGTTAGTAATCTAAGTAAGTCCAATTCACACTCACAAAATTACCTACTTTTAAGTGTATATAGAATGCCAGCCTTAAAATTGAAGCCAAAGTTTGATTTTAATGGCAAGGAAAAATAAATATGACGTTTTGAAATATTAAATTGTTATTTCATAGTTGGAACCGAGATGGGTTTTTTTTTTTTTTTTTGACATTTTTGAAAAATTCTTAATGAACATTTATGTTGGCATAGGAACCTTTTCAGATCCCATATTAACCAATCATTGAAAGCAAGCACTAGTTGAATATATCGGTAAGTTAGTGATATAATTTTGAAAACTAGAAATCACTACTTGTCAAGCTATCAGAATTTAATTGGAAAATGTAGGAAGATAGCACACAGAAATAGTTAAAAATCAGTTGGGGCCAGGCACGGTGACTCAGGCCTGTAATCCCAGCACTTTGGGAGGCCAAGGCGGGCGGATCACGAGGTCAGGAGATCGAGACCATCCTGGCTAACACGGTGAAACCCTGTCTCTACTAAAAATACAGAAATTAACCGGGCATGGTGGTGGGCACCTGTAGTCCCAGCTACTCAGGAGGCTGATGCCGGAGAATGGCGTGAACCCGGGAGGCAGAGCTTGCAGTGAGCCGAGATAGAGGCACTGCACTCCAGCCTGGGCGACAGAGTGAGACTCCGTCTCAAAAAAAAAAAAAGTTGTAATTTTTTGTCTGTGTAAATGAAGGATTTTTCAACACTGTGCCATGAAAGACAAAATTAAGAAATAACAACTAAACCTATTAAACTTGAAATGACTTATACTAACTTTGGTTCTAATTCATGGATTGGAGTTCCATGTAAGAATTTATTTGACAAAATTGGATCTGTTCTTAAACATGAAAACCACTAAACAGGAATTCTGTCAAGGATACAGGACAGATGAAGAGGCATTCCAGAAGTTTTGTTTTGTTTTCCTGTAAAAGAAGGTAAAGCAAGTGAATTCAAGATTGATTTTATTTCTAAAACAAGCCTGATGCTGCATGTATCTAGCAGTTTACCTAAATGAACAAGTAGATTAATAGAGTAATAATGACTAGCTAAATATCTGTTCCCATTGATATCTGGCACTATGGGCTTTATGTAATCTATTTTATTTAATTTGATACGTGAGTGCACATTTATCTGTCTATCCAGTATCTTGGGGTGTAATAGTTCTAAACTACTGTTACAAAAAGTGCTTTGATTAAAAATTTAGGAAATTTTCTTCTAGTATAAGGCTTTTGAAAAAATAATATAAGCCCTAATGACTCAATACACTTTTATTTTCCAAAATAGACTCTATGGTCATGTGAAAGTCTGCAAAAAGCATTTTCTTCTGTATGTACACATATTTGCATAAAAAAATTCTTTAATCTTGTGTCTTTAGAAGTTTTGGATTTATGGGAAAAATCTTATTTGTTTGCCTTCCCAAGTATTGACAATAATTTCCATTCTCAGATTTCTTTATGTTGATATGGAAAGGCATATTGTCATAATCTGTTAAAGCTTCTATAACAAAAATTATCATACACTGGGTGGCTTCTAAACAATAGGAATTTTTTTCTCACAGTTCTGGAGGCTGGAAAGTCCAAGATCAAAAGATCAGATTCAGTGTCGGATGAGGGTCATCTTTTGGTTTATAAAACTCATCTTCTCATTGAGTTCTCATATAGTAGATGGAGCTCGTTAGCTCTCAAGGGTCTCTATTACAAGGGCACTGATATAGTTTGGATGTTTAGTCCCTCCAAATCTCACGTTGATCCCCAATGGTGGAGGTGGGACCTGGTGGGAAGTGTTTGGGTCATGGGGGCAGATCCCTCATGAGTGGCTTAGTGCCTCTTCATGGTAATGAAATAGCATGAGATCTCATTGTTAAAAAAGAGTCTGGTATCTCCCTTCTCTCTTGTTCCTTTTCTCTTGCTCCCTCTCTCACTATGTGACACACCTGCCTCCCCTTCACCTTCTTCCATGAGTGGAAGATTCCTAAGGCCTTCATCAGACACAGATGCTGGTTCCATGTTTCTTGTACAGTCTGTAGAGCTGTGAGACAAAATACACCTCTTTTCTTTATAAATTACCCAGCCTCAGGTATTCCTTCATAGCAATGCAAAACATACTATACAGACACTAATCCCATTCACAATGTCACAGCTCTCATTACCTAATCACCCCCCAAAAGCCCCACCTAATACAATGGAATTAGGTTTCAGTGTGTGAATTTGGGGAAGACAAACATCCAACACATTTTCAGAGATCTGATAATTCTCTATAATTTATGGCTTGTTGACTTTGTAAAAATAGGGGATAATTTTTACTATTGACAGGTAGAATTGGCAGAAAAACTATTTTTGTTGAGGATTTCCAAAGAAACCAAAACTGGACATGTGTTCTGCAATGTAAGATAATTGGAGAATGCCAATGTGGTTAAATAATTGACCAGACAATTGGAAATTTTCAGGAAAAAAATAACAATAATCGTTTGAACAAGGGCAACCTCTAAGTCAATAGTATGTATTAAGAGCACATCTCAATGGCTTTTATGAGCATATTTAAGATAATTCAACTGTTAAAATGCTATGGAATAATTTTTAAATTCCTACATATGCATATTTGAAATATTGAGTGTAGGCAGGCAAATTGCCAGGATATTTATCAAACATAAACAAAAGTTGTTTTAGATTTTCTTGTTAACTAAAAACAAAATCAGAATGGGGAAAATTATTTACATTATTTATTTATCATGAGTTGACTAATGTTATTTAACACTTCGTTTAAGGATTGATTACAATGATACTTTGTGGGAAAAAAAGAGTTCATGTGTGACTGGAGCCCAGATGAGCTTTTATAACATCGTGTCACGTATTTCGTGGTCATCCTCAGACTGCTGCCAAACAGCCTGGTTGTATTATTATCAGCTGAGGAGCTAATTAAAAATACAGAGTATCGGCATGTCAAGATGACTTTTAGATTCAGTAGGTCTAAGATGAAGCTTTATGAATATGTATTATTTTACAAATTTTCCAGGAAATTCTAATTCACCTTCATAATTCAAAACCATTAAATGATTTCCCATCCACCCCACCAAACCTAGAAAATCTATACCATCCCCCCATTGAAAGGTATTATCTTCTCTTATTTCTAAGCCTATGTTCATTTTGTCAACTGACATAAGACAAACCCGGATATATATATATGCCATGAGGGAATAATTCTGTTTTTGGTGTATTATGCATCCAGCACAGTGCTCAGTCTTACATAAAGATGTTATTTTAAATTTACAGCAACACTTTCAGGGAGATTTCCTCATGCCCTTTTAAAAGATGAGGAAATAACATCTCAGAAAGGTTAAATATCTTGCCCAAGGCCAAGATTAAAACCTTTGTTCTCCGAAACCTTTCCAAAGGATATCACCAATGTCATCACTATGTAAAAAGAAGAGCTCCAAATGCCTAGAGATCAAGGTTTAAGACCTCCAAAGGTTTTTGCTGCAGCAAAGAAACAAAGAAACACTAGTGGGGTTCATGATTTCTTATCCGAATCTTAAGCCTTTTAGACTCTACTTTGTGATGTAACACATATCAACATTTTCAATAAAGTATCTCCTGCTCTTCAATTTTAGAGTTTCTTCAGTTTAAAAATTGCCTCAGTTTTACTTCTTTAAGAATTAGGATAGCTGTAAACACAACTGCAAATTCTTGCACACTCTTTCCTTTAGGGGAAGGATCTATGTCTCCTCCTCTTGATTCTGGTTGAGCCTCTCATTGAGTGAGCCAATGAAGAATATTGGAAATGTCACTATGTGGGAATGCAAATGCTAGATCACAAAAGAGTATACAACTTCCCTTGAGTAAGCTCATAGGAGCACTTAGCTGCCATGTAAAAGGGTTCAACTACCCTGTAGATACTACACCAGCGAGGCCACATAGAGGTATTCTTACTGACAATTTTGGCTGAGACCAGCCTTCTAGCTTTCCCATCAGGGTACAGACATGTAAGCAAAGAAGTCATTTCGGAAGTGGGTTCTTGAGTCCATTTCATTGTCTTTCCAGCTCAGACCCCAGTCTCATGGGGTAGAAGTAAGCCATTCCTGCTCTGTCCTGTCTGAATTTCTAACCCATGAGGAAAATAAAACAGATATTGCTTGATGTCACAAAATTTGTGGTGGTTGCAAAATTGCTAGAGAAAGGAACAAGAACGGCTATCAGCTTGATTTGACTTTAGATTTTGAATCCATTATTTCCTCTTTGTAGTCCAATAAGCCCCTGCACCACACAAACTGGCATCCCAGATTTTAACTGGTGCTTTCTTCACTAAGATTTCCCAGGGAAAAGCTTTCCCTAAACAGTCTGTTCCGACTCCATTATTCTCTGCTGCTTGTTGATAACCCAAATGGTCACTGCTGCTAAACCCAGGAATTTAGGTGTTAGCTCCTACACAGAAATGGAGAAAGTTTTCTTGGGATAATAGGGCTTGTTTGGGGGCTGTTATTCGCTATCTTTTCTACTTTTAATCAAGAGCTGTATTAAAATTCTTAACATGGTATTGACCAAGATGGCCTTCACATTTCCTTCAGTTTACTAAAATTTAGAAGGGTTTATTTCTGTCTCCATTCCACAGATTTTCCTCTTACCCCGACTCTTACAGAATACAGATGACCTAGCCAACAAGGTCCCTCTTCTCCCTTTTCTTAGACCATTTACTTTAGGGAACTTGTGAATTCTTTGCCCCTTGAGGTGTGAATCTTTTATAAAAACCTCTTGCTAGTTTTACAACCCAGTAATGTCTTTTGCAAGGACATAAGAGCAATCCCTTTGAAAGGTAATTATCAAGGCAGTTGGCGGCTCTATCTCCCAGTCTCTGTGGGAAGGAAAAAACATAATTTGGGTGAAAGTCTCTCTCCCAGTTGTAAAACTATCTCCTGCCATGAAGACGGAAGAAAGTTTATTTTTCCTTTGGGCAAGGCCAATTAGCAAACACAAACTGTGGTATGGTATACACAGCATAGAATTTATCCTGAAATCAAACGTTCTATCTGCATTCATGGGCCATATAATACAACCATGTTATTTAAACTTCCTTTTATGTCCATTTTTTCATTTTTAAAATGACACTAATACCCTATTTATATGATGGCTAATAACTTAGCTTATGTAAAATTATAAGCATAATTTGGCATGTGGTAAGGGTTTAACAGATATTATAACACTTCTCTTTAGTTCTTGTTAAATTCATGAGCAGTTTAGAGAATCCTTGAGAAGGGCCTTCTATCACCACAGATAATGGGATATACCAAGTATTAGGAAAAAAAAACCCACAAAAAACAAGCTATTAAGGGGGAAATACAAGAAAATAAACTCTCCTAGTAGTGATTTACTAGTGTTTAGGAAGACAGAATAATCACAAAGTAAATGCCACTTGCCTTAATATTTTACCCAAGAACTCAGCTAGACCAAAGAATAACCAAAGTCTCCAGCTGAATCTACAGTTTTATGAAAATACAATATTTATATTTGTAATCCAAAAATAAAATATACGACTCATTGAAACAGTAGTTTAAAATGTCTTATTAAATTATTTAGTAATTTTATTTGTGTTTTCCTTGGAAAAATATAGGTTGTTTTAATTTGAGAGCACTTTTCAAAATGCTTTAAAAATTTAAAAATACAAATGAGAAAAAATGAGATAAAGTAATAGGAACAGCACAGTGGGAACATCATTTTGAAATATACAAATTAATGAATTGTTACAGAGTCGTTGAGGGGAAGAAAAACAGGAAGAAGAGAATCATTTTTAAAATTTTTGCTGTGTGCTAGGCCACAGGCTAGATGTTTGCACATATTCATTTAATTCAAACTCACAACAAACTTATGGAGTAATTTCTAAAATTCCCATTTTATAAATGAGTAAAGAGAGGCTCTTAGAGGTTATATAAGTGCTCCTTGGCCATAAAACTGGGGCTGGAGAGACCCTACTGGCTTCTCTCTCTTCAGGTACATGGGAGATTACCATTCTCCACGTCTTTTGCAGTTAGGTAGGGTCATGTTATTATTTCTGTGTTGTGAACAGAAGTGACTGATGTGGGTCACTTTTTGATTTAAATGTAGACATGAGAAATTTCAATGTTCTCTTTCCTTGCTAAGTTGGACATAGGAGCCACCACATCCCAAAGAGTACAGCTGCAAAACCAGAGCATGTGAACCTGTAGCAATGAGTTTCCGCATGGAGGGGAGTTACTCCAGGAAGTCACTCCATCTCACAGTGGACATTGTGTGAACAGGCAATACACTTTTGATGCATTCAGCGTGATCGAAGGCCAGGCCATTCTGATGGCAAACTTTTACTTCTTTTTCTATTTTTTTGTTTTCCTTCAAAAGCCACAGACCCAGTCCTTAATTTATATGAAGATTATGCACCTGGATCCCATTAATTCTATTATGGGGGATGTTTCTGCAAAATCATGCGGATTTTATTTTGTCTCTTAGGATTTTTACCATAATTTAATTCAGAGAGAGAAATAACATTATGTTCCTACAGGTGACAGACTTGGCACTTATCTGATTTATTTTGTAAAAATCTATTCAAAGAACATATACGCATTTTCAAATCATTTGGACTTTCGATGTTTGCCTAAATAAAATTATTGTTAGTTCAAGACCATCTAAATCCTTTGATCTGTCAATCAGGGTGGTTAATAGTGAAAGGTATAGTGTAGCCCTGAATATTTCCACATCTAACCAAGAACAGCTTATAAGAGTGATTTTGAAAAAAAAAAATACTGATTCTAAACAGCAAAGCTATAATAAATAATTCAGCCTTTAAATACAGACCAGATCCCTTAAAGGCAAAGAATGAATATACTCAGCATATTAATGCTTTTCGGGTTTTGTTTTATGAGATGTGTAGCAATTTCAGATGAAATTATAAATGCTTTTGAGAACTTTGAACATTACATTTTTAAGTATATTAAATGAAAGACAAGGCATGAATGCAGATGTTGATCTTTGAGCACAAATATTCCATATTTTAATAATGCCTCCGGGGCTCTAGAAGTACCCAGGGGTTTTAAAAACCTAATTCAAATTTCTTTTACCTTTTATCTTTTTTTTTTTTTTTTTTTTTTGAGACGGGAGTGTCACTCTGTCCCCCAGGCTGGAATGCAGTGGCACGATCTCGGCTCACTGCAAGTTCCGCCTCCGAGGTTCATGCCATTCTCCTGCCTCAGCCTCCCAAGTAGCTGGAAATACAGGTGCCCACCACCACACCTGGCTAATTTTTTGTATTTTTAGTAGAGATGGGGTTTCACTGTGTTAGCCAGGATGGTCTCGATCTCCTGACCTCGTGATCTGCCCACCTCGGCCTACCAAAGTGCTGGGATTACAGGTGTGAGCCACCGTGCCTGGCCAAAACCCTGAATCAAATTTCTGTTATGGTTTTCTGTTTGAACTTGTAAAAGTCACATATTATCTTAGAATTTAAATTCCTGATTTATTAAATGTGACTGAAGTGCAACAAAATATATTAATTTTGGAAAATAATGTAGGATAAAAACCATACTGAGTGCTTTATATGCACTCCTATGGATAAGTAAATTAAAAATTATTTTTATTATTACTTTTGGAGATGGAGTCTCACTCTGTCACCCAGGCTGGAGTGCAGTGGCCATGATCGGCTCACTGCAACCTCTGCCTCGCAGGTTCAAGCGATTATCCTGTCTCAGCCTCCTGAGTAGCTGGGACTATAGTTGCATGACACCCCACCCAGCTAATTTTTTTGTATTTTTAGTAGAGATGGGGTTTCACTGTGTTGCCCAGGCTAGTTAAGAACTCCTGAGCTCAGGCAATTGGCCCACCTTGGCCTCCCAAATTGCTAGGATTACAGGCATGAGCCACCACCCCCAGCCTAAAAATTATTCCTTATTGCTATTTATAATATGGCTGACACTTGGCTAATATTTATTATTATATTTGCACTTCTTAAGGTAAAACATTTGAACTTATAAGAATTAGGAGTAGACCCACCTTCTCTGATTTTGTCACTGAATTGTGCCTGTGTAGTGTTAGGAGATGCTCCTAGTATAACAACCTTAAGAAGAGGAGTAAATGAGGATCAGCCACTGCGTTTGATCCTGAATAATAGAATGAAGAGCACCGTAAAAGAGCTGAGGTCTGATTAAGCCACAAGGCTACCTTGTTGGCTTAATATATCCTATGTGGATGATGCCGTAAAACTCAATCCTCTTCAAGACCTTCAGCAGTACCTGGCCAATAGTCTTGCCAGAGGGACACTGTCGCTGAATCATGGTCCAGGCAAAGTCATTTCCAGTCTTTCATCAATCTTGTCTATCTTAAGGAGTAGAAGACCTGTATCAAGAGATCATTTGTTGCAGGGACTAGGAACAGAAAATGAGGAGAAAATGCCACTGTCCTCCCTCTCCTTACTCTATAGCATTGCATATGCTCAATTACATAGTTTACATGAGTGTATGATTTCCTATTTCTTTTTCTAACTAAAAGACAACCCAGCATGTGCAGGTAGGCAAGAGCTAAGAATTAAATCACCAGGTTTAGGTCAAAGTGACTAACATTCTGTATAGAGAAAGCTGACAGGTCAAATTCAAGCTTGAATTGATAAGTACAAAGCCAGAAGCGGAGAGACAAGATACAAGCAAAGCAAAGGTACATAAAGGTAGAAATTAGAGAATTTCATATTCATGGGTCAGTTCAAACTCCACCTCTTCCATGAATTTTCCCAGATAGCTCCTTCAGAAGAAATTGCTTTTCACATAATCCTTTTTTATCTTGTTTGCTGATCAGAAGTGAAAGATACATGCAGACTTGGACAAATAGAGATAAAAAGAGGGTGTGTGAGAGTGTTCATATGACAAATAATGGTGTGTTCTGATGGCTCATTGCTAACATCAGGTGCTTGATACATGGGGGAATCATCCTGGCTTAAAGATATGAGGCTGATGTGGACATTACCTTTGTATGGTAGTTTGCTCCTGGTGACAAATGCAGGCTGGATCTGTGATAATGCTTCTGGCTATATAGTGAGTGAGTGAACCAATGAACCATTGAGCCAAATAATGAATCAGTGTTGAGTCTGATCACATTTAAAATGCATGTTAACCATTTAACCCAAATTGGAAATACTATAGAGAAAGAGTCTAAAACGATTTAAAAGTTTGATTTAAATAAACTGAAATCTTTAAAATCTAAGCAAAAGCAGTTAGCTTATACAAAGCACAAGGCCACCCGACACTCAGTTGGTATCTAATAATTGTTTTCCTACTATTAACTTGTGGCCATATCTGAGCTTCTGCCAACTAATAATAGCTATGTATACAATATCATTGATTAGATCTTGTTTACAAATGATCTAAATCTATGGACCTGAAACATAAAATTTTATCAACCTAACTTTTAATACGCTATATCACAAAGAATCTGGAGTTTTACTTAACCCACATTTTTAGGCAACAAATGTGATATTCACTTTAATTCAACTAATTAACAATCTTTAATTCAATTAATTAACAATTATTTTGTTGATAAGACAAATCTGAGTCTATTATCACTAGAGAAAGAGATCACCACCTCTGCATAACTTTGACAATTTCCTCAAGGTTGGATGGAAAGGTAGAAATTTATTGAGAATTGAATATTTGGTTTAAGGCAAGTATTTTAGTATAAACACTTGATTAGGATTGGAAAGGATCATGATAGCTTCTCTTGGTGGAAACAAGAGCAAGATTTCAAGGTAGAAGATTTTTGCTTCAAAAACAATTTTAGGGCACAAACTGTTAATGTTTTCTATTGAAGAATTTATGTACTTTTCAGCATGTTCCTATAATGAACAATCAAGCCATTTGCCTGGGCAGGAGGCTTTCAGGAAAATAAAGTCATGTTAATAATGACAGTGTAATAGCAAAGTCAGGTTGATTTAGGCAGTAAGATTTTAAATACTAGTGTCCAGGTGGAGTATAGACTAATGGTTTCACTTCTCAGTATGGTTCCTATTTGTGTGGCCCTATGCAAAAAATACAACTGTGAATAGAATAATATATATCCTTCAGGATCTCAGAGATTCATGACGACTCAAAAATAAAACACTAATTTACTAATACTTATACCACGATGATGTTGTAAATGTAGCTAACCAAGTGTCAGTGATGTTCAGATAAAAAGGACTAAACTCTGTTAGGTGGAGTAGCAGTAAAGGTTGCTCTGAAGAGTTAATATCTCAGTTGAACTTTGAAGGACAGGTGGAAATAACTGAGTAGTGCAGGGGAACTCCTTGGTAATATTTCAAGGAGGAACAATAGCAAGTGTAAACATAACCAGGTGTGAAAGAGCACAGGTTGCTCAGAACAGTTTGGCTTGGCTGAAACTGCATTAGAGAATTACTGTTTAATTTTTGAGTCTTCATAAATCTGTGAGATCCTGAAGGATATATGTTATTCTATTCACAGGGGTATTTCTCACACAGGGCCATAAAAATAGAGGAGAGGGTGGACCATTGAAATTCAATGAACATTGCAGTAGTATTTTGGCTTTATGGGTAGGTAAAGGGGAATCATTTTAAGGGAAAATGATTAATACTGGTAACTGTTGAAAATAATAACTGGTTTCTACTTTTTAGTCCTAGAAGCAGAACATTTGGAATTAAAAAGGCTTTGTTTCGCTCTAGGATACGTGAACCCTAATTGGACTTTTCTTTTTTTTTTTTTTTTTGAGACGGAGTCATGCTCTGTTACCCAGGCTGAAGTGCAGTGGTGCTATCTCAGCTCACTGCAAGCTCCAACTCCTGGGTTCACACCATTCTCCTGCCTCAGCCTCTGGAGTAGCTGGGACTACAGGCGCCCACCACCATGCCCGACTAATTTTTTGTGTTGTTAGTATAGACGGGGTTTCACCATGTTAGCCAGGATGGTCTCCATCTCCTGATCTCGTGATCCGCCCGCCTTGGCCTCCCAAAGTGCTGGGATTTCAGGCGTGAGCCACCGCGCCTGGCCCTTGGACTTTTCTTATGCTTTTCATAGTATTGTTATAGTGCTGAGTGAGAATGCCTGAAGTAAAGCCAGTGATACCACAATTACACTTGAACAAGACGGATTTGTCAAGTCTCTAGAGTCCATTAAAAAAAAGAACAACAGATGATCATTCAAACTATGTCAAATTAATAGAGTCCTTACGGAACATTTTAGTTATCTCAGGACTTCAAGATTAAGCTCAAAGAAAGATAAGTAATAGAAAAAAGTATTTAAAAATATAATTCTACATATAAAATGATGAAAAACAATAGCCACAAACTGATTGTATTGCCTTAACACATATTTATTAAATCAGGTATTAACTCATGCAACAATGTTTATTAGGTATTTTCTATGTTTCAAGCATTATTTTAGATGTTGAAAAAGCAAACCTAAGTAAGTCTTCATTGTTGCCTTGGAAGAGTAAATAGCTAATTATAAAAAATCTTCAAGTATACACACACACACACACACATATATTCACATACACACATATATAGACACAAGCATATATATATATATATATATATATATGTCATAGATACCTACTATCTATCTTCTGTCTTTTGCAATGTGTATTATACCGAATAAACATGTAGAGATAGAAAGTGTGGCTATTAAAGGAAGGAAGAAAGTTAATGTAGTCACTAGATATATGAGGAGGTTCTGAACATAAGACTTTTTCTTTTAAAGATGTAAGAATCTATGCTTAAATCTAATAGTTTTGGAGAATAATGGGATCTAGAAAAGATTAAGATGAGATTTGATCATGGATTGAAATTTTGTGAGCTGGATGTGTCGGAAAACAATAAAAGAAAGGATATTGACTAGAAGGTACTTGAAGAAGTGCAGAGTGAATTCTCAAGTGGAAAAAATGAAGTAAAAATTAAATAGGCTTGCCATAGAAAAATAGGGTAATAAAGAAATTTCAAGTTATGATAATAATGGAATACCTGGCCGGGTGTGGTGCCTTACGCCTGTAATCCCAGCACTTTGGAAGGCTGAGGTGGGTGAATCACCAGAGGTGAGGAGTTCAAGAAAAGCTTGGCCAACATGGCAAAATCTCATCTCTACTAAAAATACAAAAAAAAAAAAAAAAAAAAAAAAAAATTAGCTGGGCGTGGTGGTGGGCACCTGTAATCCCAGCTACTTGGGAGGCTAAGGCAGGAGAATTGCTTGAACTAGGGAGGCAGAGGTTGCAGTGAGCCGAGATTGTGCCACTGTACTCCAGCCTGGGTGACAAGAGCAAAACTTCGTCTCAATAATAATAGAATACCAAGTGAAAGATGTTCAGTTTTTGACATCTTAACCTGGCAACATGCTACCAAGTTGGCTTCAAGTAGGTCCAAGTTTTAATGTCTGGGAAGATACAATGGCAGGACTTGCTATAGGAAGAGAATTGTGAGACAGGTCACAAAGTTTTCCAAGTGTAAGAAATGGTGTTCAAGTTAACAGTCAATGACACAAATGAGAACCACAAAGATTGTCTATACATATAGAAAGATACTCATAGATATTAATTTTTCTTTTTTTTCTCTAGTTTTTCACATATAGAAGGAGTAGTGATAGACCCTTAAGTATATCTGGGTACTTGCCGATACTCCTTCAAGCCCATGAGTTGTAGGAGAGTGAACAGCATATATTCAAGAGAAATGTAGTGGAAGTATTATCCTTTAGGGGACCCTGTGTTTTAAGGAGTCCAGGAATTTTGAAAGTACATGGAGACTCCAGAAATTCTGGGAGGCAGAGATAGAAGAGAAATAATCAAGAGGTTAGGTTAAGTAAAAGGAAGTGCAATTTAGGTCTTTGAAAATATCATTGACTAGAGTTACTAATATGTTAAGCAGAAGCATAAAAGGGCTGCAAGGCATCTCTTACTGGAACACAGATTTTTCAAAATAATTAATCCCACTAGTTGCCTGCCGAGGGAAAGTAGTTGGTGCTTAGCTCTCTTAAAATGGGTCCGCTAGAGCTTATATTGACTCTACTTCTGTAGATGACTAGTTCACGTGAGAAAATTGAGAATGGGACAATTCAATTCCTAGAACTGTGACTTGTAATTGAAAATAACACCAGGTTCTAGAATGTAATAAGAGCAGTTCTTTGGAAAGAGCCAACAGAGTTCCAGAGAGAGGGTGGAAGCAGAACTGGCTTTAGAATGGACTACAAGTGTTTTTTGGATTTTTTTTTTTTTCAATTGTCAGTAGGATATTTAAATAGAAAAAAAAAACCCCCAAAATCTGCAGAAGTTAAAAATGTCTGATGCAACATTTTGTTAAAGTCATGTCTAGCTTAAGAGAAACATTTGCAAACCATTTTCTTTTGTAAATAATTGGGATTACCACATTGAAAAGCAACAGGAGAGAGTGAGAGGAAGAGTATAAGAAAATGAAGAGAGGAAAAGGAATATGATTCCCTGCAGTGAAGTGTCTGAAGAAAACAGAGTAAAAGTCTAAAAAGTAGAAAAAATTGTAGAGATAATTCAAAAGTAGAGATAATTTCAAAAAGCAGATTATCAGCACTGAGAAATATAAGCAGTCATATGCTATGGAAAAAAAATACCTTGACAGGTATGGTATTTTATAAAATATTTTTATAAAACAAGAACAAGTATAAGTTTTCCTCCAGGCTTTATATACCAATGGGCTTCCTGTAATGAGATGATGTTACTGATAACGATTAAAACTCCACAGGTAGGTAACAATGAAGAGATTAATAGGCTGTTCCATACTTAGTGAATATAAAAACAGCCCTGTTGTTTGTGGACTTTGTAGCTGCTCAGTATATTGTATTAGAGCTTCAAAGCCTGTTTCATTCTTACTTTCATTCACTCAGCAAATATTTATTGAATGTCTTGTGTGCACAAGCTATAGGTTGATCACCGTTCTTTTGAAAATGCTATCACATGTTTTTGGAGGGCTGCGGAGGTGGGGTTTTTTTTTAATTGATTTTGCCTATGACTATATACAGGATTGGGAACTGTTGCATATCCAAGGTGTATTATATATATTTCAATTTTCAGTATTCTTATTTTATAAACCTTTCTTTATCGATTTGCCAGTGTGCATCATGATGCCATAAGACTGTCTTCATGTTGCTTGCATTGGGCCATGTGTGTTTACATATCTGATGGGGTGCAGTCATCAGCAAATAATAGCCTATGTGT